AATGATTAGCTTTCAACCCACCAAATAAGGACAGGTATGGTTCATGTTGGAATATTGTCGCACCACCTTATATACCATTATAGCAATTGGATTATAGGGCTTGCGAGTCAATTTACAAATGTCCACAGAGGTGTTGTAAAGCCAAGGCTTATATCCATTTGCTTTTTTATAAAGCTGAAACGTAGTCCATATATCGTTGCAAGAGTCGTGTATTGTGGCATTAAAGTTGAGTACAGTCCTATTACGATTAATTGCCTTTAGTCGACATAGGTGGACTGAGATCCACGATTTATTGTGAACTTCACAAATAAAATTTGTCATTCTGATTGTTGATGCATTCTATTGAAATTAAAAATTATTCATCGGCTCCTTCACTGTTTTCGTTTTCGTTTACTTACATTGTATATGAATTGTAGGACCATACAAATTGTGAATATGGTTAAAATGGTCCCCAGATTGCGCATGACTACAATTCCCAATGACTCTAGAGCACTGAATGAACTTTATTTCAAATAGTCCCAAAGTGCTCATTGCTCAATTTCGTTGATAACTGTCCAATTGAAATAATTGCCTAATTATTCTACTAAATACACTGTTTAAATATTTGAAAGCTGTTTTTGTATATTTGATACATTTTAATAGGGTTATTCATGCAAAATGCTGATTTAGGAGGTGTTCATGACCCAATACATATTTGGAATCAATTAACAAACCATCGGCTCTTTATACTTTTCTATTATGAATTAAGAAGACCTTCGTCAGATTTAAAGTACAAGTCTGTCGATAGTTGCTTCTTCTTGGTGCAATACCAGTCTAGTTTAACTAAATATTCTCCCGTTGGAAACGGCATAAGGTTTGCATATTCCAAATACAGACCATTAATAATTAACGGGCCCTAAAATGAATTATTAATAGAATGTGCATGAAGAAATTGTTAACAAATGGCTCACCCCATAAGGACAGGTATGGTTCAAGTTTGAATATGGTCGTACCACCTTATATACCATTATAGCAATTGGATTATAGGGCTTCCGAGTCAATCTACAAATGTCCGCAGAGGTGTTGTAAAGCCAAGGCTTATATCCATTTGCTTTTTTGTAAAGCTGAAACGTAGTCCATATATCGTTGCAAGAGTCGTGTATTGTGGCATTAAAGTTGAGTACAGTCCTATAACGATTAATTGCCTTTAGCCGACACACGTAGATTGAGATCCACGTTTTATTGTGGGCTTTACAAATGAAATTTGTCATTGTGATTGTTGATGCATTCTATTGAAATTAAAAATTATTCATCGGCTTCTTCACTCTTTTCGTTTTCGTTTACTTACATTGTATATGAATTGTAGGACCATACAAATTGTGAATATGGTTAAAATGGTCCCCAGATTGCGCATGACTACAATTCCCGATGACTATAGAGCACTGAATGAAATTGATCTCGAATAGTCCCCAAATAGCTCCAAAGTGCTCATTGCTCAATTTAATTGATAGCTGCCCAATTCCAATAATTGCCTAATTATACTACTAAGTACAGTTTATATATGCTTTGATGCAGTCTGCTGATATACATTTGATATTTCCAAGTACAAATATACATATATAGAGATTGTAATTTGGAAAAAAAAAACTCTGTGAGATTCTCATGATTTGAAATCAATTATCAGCCCCGAGATCCAATTAAAAAAGTCAACATCGTTTGTTGCCTGAGCCAAATGTGTGCTTAACTTTTTTGTGAAGTGAACTTTTCCCAGGCCTGAAGGCGAAATGGAAAACTCGTCTGTGTGACAGTGACACTGACAGCCACCTCCGAGAAGCAGGCAGGCAGGCAGCAGTCGGTGGCTAGGCAGGCAATTGGAAAAACAAACACATGCCGACAGAGGCAATAGGCCGCCAGATTGACATCTTCATCATAAATAAAAGTGAAAAACTTGTTGGCCAGTGAAGAAAAGCCGGACAAACGCAAAACCCGAGCTAGCCAACCAAACGTAACGAAAAATGCTGCCACAGTTTTCTACGATCTGTAACAGCAGCTGTATCTGATGATCTGCTGATCTGATGTGTGGCAATGTGGCAAGTGAATGCCAATCGAAATGGCAAACAAATAAACCAACTAGCCTCCAGGCTAATAACCATAACAATAACAATGCCAGCTACGAGCTGGGGGGCTAATGAAGATATCTGGCGATATCTCCTTATGGAAGGAGTTGTTTACCATTTAGTGGATGTCATAATTACACTTAAATATCGCATATTGTTGCTAATGGGCCAATCAAACAAGGCGATTGGTTGCCGAGGCTGGGGGAGGGGGTGGTCATTTGAATGCCTACTGTAACGCATGCTTAATTATCGGTCCATGTTGGTAACGCCCTCTCGTCGCTAGGTGTTAACAAACTCATTTCACTCAATAATTTTCTCAACGACCTGTAACTGGTTTGGCCAGCACGTAGACAGAGCGCTCTCGACTTGGCCACGCCGGCTATCACAGCTACATGGCTCTTTAATCTTCTTGCAGAGGCGGCAACATTATTTGCATGCTGATTAGCCTTCAACGCAGACAGGTTGCTACACATTTTGCACCTCACTTTCCATCTCTCGGACGTGGCTCGATCTCGTTCTGTCTTTGTGCGCCGTCTTCAACTCCAACTCCAGCGCCAACACCGACACCCGGTTAATCTATTAAGAGAGCTAGGCAGCCCGCCTTGCACTTGCCCGTCGCGACGACTTGGTCCAATTTTCAACACTTTTGACGTGCTGTTAATTGATTTAGAGTGCAGTCTGCGTGCACGTTTGGCCATCGAGTCTCTGGCTAACTGGCTGGCTGTTCGGTGTGGATCTGGACGTCGACGTTTCTGACGGCGTCTATGATTATATAGCGCCACTCGCTTGTTATGGCCAGCTTTTGTTGCCACTGTAATGACTGCCGTTGGTAATTGTTGCCTCCTCATTGCCGGCTCGCTGTACGTGCCGCCAGTGGGAAAATGTTTGCCTAACCGCTCAATCGTGCTGAAATGACAACTCTATTAGCTTTCGAATACAGATGTGGGCGCGGCAATTGCTTTTTATACATACAAGCCTTGTGTGGGTGGGTGGCTGGCTAATACAAAACAGATTCCGTTCTTTTTTTTCAGCTTGTAATTGGCTGGGCAACTGTACCCAAAATATATCTATCCATGCACTTCACTTTGCTACTCTCGAAATTTCCACACGCTCGTCTGTTCAGCGAAAACAAAGGGCATTCGCAGTGCATGTGGACCAAATGTTGTACAGCCAGGCAGCGCAGCAAACAGGGTCACTGGAACACCTTGCGTGGGCATCAAATTCAGTGCCGAATCAAAACACCAGAATCAGAGACATGTGCACAGCGCGCAACAGATTGCCGGCGAGAGGGTCCTGTACCCAGGCGAGCCCAAGCCGAGTGCAACAAACGAAACGAATGCTGGAAACATTTGCCAGTTGGTGCTCACAGCAGGTACTCTATAAGGATAATGCAGATGCATCCTGTGCGAGCGCAACAGGCTGCAGTTGTTAGTCCAAATGGATTTCTTTTTTTTACCATGCCAAAGAGATTTCGTTTTGTTGTTTCGTTTTTTCCTCTTTGTTGTTCTTGTGGCAGCAGCTGCTGCTGCTGCTGCTGCTACGCTGATTATCTGCAAAATGGCAGCAATCACAGCAGACGCATAGGCATTGAGCTGGCCACAGGCCCAACTGTTGCTTTCCTTGGAAAATTACAATTTTCAAGCACAGCACAGACTTGGATACTCCTCTAGCTGGGTGTGTTTCGCTTTAGCTAGACACTTCTAGACGTGCATGCCAATAATATTCTCCATCAAATGCCTATTTGTTGTTTATTATTTTATTTTTTGCCACAAGCTTCATTGTTATGCGTGGGCGTTGTCCAGGCGACATTTTAAAAGCGTTCGAATTCATTTGTTATTTCCATTGAATTTACGACCATCAACATGCCTCATGTCCAACCCGAATGGGTTTACATATCTTCTGCTACGACCTCAACAAATAACGTTGCTCAAGAGAAATGTTTTATAGGCAAATAATGAAATTTGTAAATGTATTATTATTATTATTATTATTATTATTATTAGTATTATTATTATTATTATAATTATTATTATTATTATAATTATTATAATTATTATTATTATTATTATTATTATTAGTATTATTATTATTATTATTATTATTATTATTA